TTTTTTTTTTTTTTTTTTTTTTTTAACTTTAAGTTCTGGGAACATGTGCAGAAACAGCAGAAACAGAACTTGCAGGTTTGTTACATAGATACACATGTGCCATGGTGGCTTGCTGCACCTATCAACCCCTCATCTAGGTTTTAAGCCCCACATGCATTAGATACTGTCCTAATGCTCTCCCTCCCCTTGTCCCCCACGCCAACACTCCCCAGTGTGTGATGTTCCCCTCCCTGTATCCATGTGTTCTCATTGTTCAACTCTCAATTATGAGTGAGAATACGCAGTATTTGGTTTTCTCTTCCCATGTTAGTTTGCCTAGAATGATGGCTTCCAGCTTCACCCTGTCCCACCAAAGGACACAAACTTGTTCTTTTTTATGGCTGCATAGTATTCCATGGTGCATACAGTATCCAGTCTATCACAATATCCAGTCTATCATTGATGGGCATTTGGATTGGCTCCAAGTCTTTGCTATTGTAAATAGTACTGCAGTAAACATACCTGTGCATGTGTCTATATAGTAGAATAATTTGAAATCCTTTGGGTACATACCCAGTAATGGGATTGCTGGGTCAAATGCTTTTCTGATTCTAGATCCTTGAGAAATCACCACACTGTCTTCGCAATGGTTGAACTAATTTACACTCCCACCAACAGTGTAAAAGCATCTCCACAGCCTTGCCAGCATGTATTGTTTCCTGACTTCATAATAATTGCCATTCTAACTGGCGGGAGATGGTATCTCATTGTGGTTTTGATTTGCATTCTCTAATGACCAGTGATGATGAGCTTTTTTTCATATGTTTGTTGGCTGCATAATAAATGTCTTCTTTTAAGAAGTGTATGTTTGCCGGGTGCTGTGGCTCACGTTTGTAATCCCAGCACTTTGGGAGGCCGAGGTGGGTGGATCACGAGGTCTGGAGTTCAAGACCAGCCTAGCCAAAATGGTGAAACCCCATCTCTACTAAAAATATGAAAAGTAGCTGGGCGTGGTGACAGGTGCCTGTAATCCCAGCTACTCAGGAGGCTGAGGCAGGAAAATCGCTTGAACCCAGGAGGCGGAGGTTGCAGTGAGCTGGGATGGTACCACTGCACTCCAGCCGGGGCAACAGAGTGAGACTCTATCTCAGAAAAAAAAGTATCTGATCATATCCTTCTCCCACTTTTTGATGGGGTTGTTTTTTTCTTGTAAATTTGTTTAAGTTCTTTTCTGGATATTAGCCCTTTGTCAGATGGATAGATTGCAAAAATTTTCTCCCATTCTGTAGGTTACCTGTTCACTATGATGACTGAGTCTTACTGTTGATCTTCATGAAGCTAGTAATAAATTGACAATCAAATAAGAATATTCATGTTTTGGTGTCATGATTTGCTACTCGAGTTCTTATTTATTTGGTACTCCACTGGTGGTACTTGGGGCATATACTGTTGTCAAATGATTTGGTTAATTGTGATATGTACTTTTTTCCTAAAGACAAAAAGAAGTGTGCCCTCCTCAAAAGTAATCCCCTGCCTCTCTTAATTTCCTTCCTTTTGTAAATTATATACCTTAGAAATTAGTATCTTAGTACAGAGCGGTCTCTTAAATATTAAATCAGAATATTCTAACAAAGAATATTTTCTCCTTATGAGCTATAAGCAGTTAAGTATTGCTATTATAGTACAATTAATTTACACATTTTTAAGATATGAGTTATCTTTTTAAGATATGATGAGTTATCATTTTTAAGATAACTCATCATATCTTAAAAATGTGTTATGTGGAGTATAGTGTGACGACATTCACACTATACTCCACATATACATTTAAAAACCTAACCCTTCTGTTAGGTTTCTGGGTTTTTTTCAACTATATTTGTCGAGTATAGTGTGAATGTCAAGTCTTCCTTCTGCTGCTGGGAATATACTTCTCAGGAAAGGCAATGCTGTAACAACCCCAGTGGTCAAAGTCTTCATCTTACAGATGGATGTATTGTGTCCCTATCATCTAATCCACCTGCTCTTTATTCCTCCCAATGTGTATTAGCTTTGTTCAAGTGATTGAGGCATGTGAGCTTGTATAAATCATATGTTACTTAGTAATTTCTTTATCTCCCTGATGAATTGAAGGTATTACAGGCTCCGTGTGAAGGATCTTTAGCCTCCTGCTGTTCTCCTTTCACCAAGATATTCCTTACTCCTATGCCCCTCTTACATTCCCCGTTGGATTCGTTTGGTTTTCTTTATTTTCCTTTCTTTTCCTCCACTAGTTTAGAATCTATAGATTCTGTTTTTATTATTTTTAATGGTTTACCTTATATATTTTTTATGTGAAATAAAAAGTTAGGCTGGACGTGGTGGCTCATGCCTGTAATGCTACCACTTTGGGAGGCCGAGGCAGTCGGATTACTTGAGGCCAGGAGTTGGAGACCAGGCTGGCCAACATAATGAAACCATGTTTCTATAAAAAAATTACAAACATTGCCTGGGTGTGGTGGTACATGCCTCTAATCCTAGCTACTCAGGAGGCCGAGGCAGGAGAATTGCTTGAACCTGGGAGACAGAGGCTGCAGTGGGCTGAGATGGCACCACTGCAACAGTCTGGGTGACTGAGCAAGACTCTGTCTCAAAAAAGAAAAAAATCTCCTCTTTTTAGGAAGTAAAATCCTTAGAAAATTTACTTGAATTCTTTTTATTCCTTTCAGATTTATCTTTACTATTATCTAGTCTTTTGATTCTTTTTGCCACCCCACCCCTGCTCCCACCAAATTTAGTAGTCATTGCTATTTTCCATGGTCAGTGCCTTAGATAACCACATGCTCATCAATTTTTTTTCTTCATTAGATGTACATGTTGGTTGAAGGGATAAATGACCATAGTAATAGAAGGTAAGAAAATGGGCTGGGTATGGTGGCTCACACCTATAATCCCAGCACTTTGAGAGGCCAAGGCAGGTGGATCACTTGAGGTCAGGAGTTTGAGACCAGCTGACCAATATGGTGAAACCCTGTCTCCACTAAAATACGGAAATTATCCAGGCAGGGTGGCACACACTGTAATCCCAGCTACTCAGGAGGCTGAGGCAGGAGAATTGGTTGAACCCAGGAGGCGGAGGTTGCAGTGAGCTATTGCACCAATGCTGGGCGACTCTGTCTCAAAAAAAAAAGGAAGAAAATAAACCAGGAATGCAGTATAAGTTAGCACGATGTCTGCGTAAATGCCACTAGACCAGGTACAGTGGCTCATGCCTATAATCCTAGTACCGTGGAAAGCTGAGGAGGGAGGATCACTTGAGCTTAGGAGTTGGAGGCCAGTCTGGGCAATATAGCGAGACCTCATCTCTACTAAAACTAAAGAAAAATTATCTGAGTGTGCTTGGCTGAGGTAGGTGGATCGCTTGAGCCCAAGAGGTCAAGGCAGCAGTGAGCTGTGATTATACCACTGCACTCCAGCCTGGGTGACAGAGCAAGACCTTGTCTGAAAAATAAATAAATAAATAAATGCCACTAACAATGACTAATATCAAATAGATCTGGTTGTTGCTGGTATTTAAGTGTTTTCCTATGTCTGATTATATTAGTGTACCTAAGTAGACAGTTATATCTCCACTATGCTTCTAGCCTCAAGAGGATGTACTACTATGCAACAGAGGAAAAGAATCTACCTGCCTTTAAGGCAGCCTGTACTGTATTCTTCTTTTATTTTTTTTGAGATGGAGTGTCGCTCTGTTGCCCAGGCTGGAGTGCAGTGGTGTGATCTCAGCTCACTGCAACCTCTGCCTCCCGGGTTCAAGCAATTCTTCTGCCTCAGCCTCCTGAGTAGCTGGGATTATAGGCGCATGCCACCCCGCCTGGCTAATTTTTGTGTTTTTAGTAGAGACTGGGTTTCACCATGTTGGTCAGGCTGGTCTCAAACTCCTGACCTCATGATCCTCCGCCTGCCTCAGCCTCCCAATGTGCTGGGATTACAGGCATGAGCCACCATGCCCAGCCACCTGTACTTCAGTATTATGTGCCTCTTTATGAATACAACATTTAGAAGACCTAATATTGTGTCATTGATTTAAAACCGAGAATGTTATGAATAAAAAGATTTTAGAAATATTTTCCATTCCAGTCACTTTTTCTCTTCTAAGAAAAAATTTCTATTATGAGTCTTCCTTGGGCACCTATGGTAATTTTTTTGTTGTTGTTTTTTGAGACAAGATCTCACTTTGTTACCTAGACTGAAGTTACCGTGGCATGATCATGACTCAGTATAGCCTCAGCCTCACAGGCTCAAGTGGTCCTCTCAACTCAGCCTCCTGAGAAGCTGGGACTACAGGTGCACACACCACTGTGTCCAGCTAAGTTTTGTTTTTTTATTTTTGTAGAGATGGAATTTTGCCCTGTGGACCAGGCTGGTCTTCAGAATCAGTCCTTATATACTGATTCTTACTGTATGTTGCTTCATGCTATTTTTACTTTGGGCATTAGGAAAGCAAAAGTGTCTAGATTTATATTTACATACACCATTGTTTTGTAAAGTTTACTTTCATTTACCAATGACTGAACAAACCACTTTTCAAAATATTCTTACTGTTCACAACAACTGATGTTTCTTGGATGCTTCTCTGAGCCAGGCACTAAGCTAAGTTTGACACATGGTTTATCTCATTTAATTCTGTCAACCATCTTGTAAGTTAGGTGCTATTATTACCCTGATTCTACAAGTGAGTTTATTGAAATTTAGAGAGACATTGATCAGTTATAGCTGTTCAGTTGACATCTCACTTCTTTACCAGCATTGAAACTGTCAACATAAGATTAAAACATTTTTCCTTTTTTCTTCCTCCCTGCCACCCACCAAGGAAATTGAGATGCCTGGAAAACTGAACCAATTTTCTGTGATACATTCAAGGATTAAATGACTTTGTGGATTTATAGTTGCTAAAGCCTGAAGTGCAGTCCTTATTGAGCCCTGAACAGGCTTTTCATATAAAGTTTTTTACTTGTCAAGTGATTCTGTTTGATTTCTCTTAGGTTATGGAGAAACTCTTCAAGGCTACAACAATGATGGTTCTCTCAAATTGTCCTGAAGATGTTAATCTCTGTTACAAATTCATAGCTCCGGGCCAAAAGGTAATTAATTTTGTAGATAAAGCCGAATATATCTGCTCTTTAATGTGTTAATTATACATAATGAATAAAATTACATTTTTAAAATTTTCTGTCTTTTTTTTTTTTTTTTTAACCAAGGACAGATTAGAACTTATGCTGAAAAACAACTTTTTAATGTAAGTGGATGTTTTATTTTCTTTGAACTTTATTCATTATCACTGTATTTATCACACTGTATTATAATTTTTAAAATATATATCTGCTTATATAGATTCTATATATATATTATGTATGATATATATCTAGACACTCTCGAGACTCCAGGCATGACCCATATTCTAATAATATTTATAGCTCTTGTGTTTGGTTCATAGTTGATAATTACTGTTTCATCGATAAATAAATCATAATAAGATAAAATGAAGTAATTGTTAACTATATTACTACAATTCAAACTTATACTAACTTTAGTCATCAAAATTTGGCTTGATTAAAAAACAGACTTTAAAAAATCTGCTTAGTATAGGTTACAGCAAGACAAGAATTCAGGAACAGAAAACTAAGAGATTACCACAGTGATCTGGGTAAGAGTTAATAATAATTTGGACTGTGTGTTAGAGTTCTCCAGAGAAGCATGACCAGCCTAGCATGAGGGTGGATGTGTGTGGAGAGAGAGATTGAGAGACTTATTATAAGAGTTGCTTCACATAATTGTAGAGGCTTGTTGAGTTTAAAGTATAAGCCGGGTAGGCCAACAAGCTGGAGAGTCAAGGAAGAGTTGCCATTCGAGTCCAAAGGCAATCTCCTGCCAGAATTCCGTCTTTCAGGGGTTTAGTCTGTCTTAGTAAAAACTTCATCTGAGGCCAGGCACGGTAGCTTATGCCTGTAATCCTCTCACTTTGGGAGGCTGAGGTGGGTGGATTGCCTGAGCTCAGCAGTTTGAGACCAGCCTTGGCAACACGGTTAAACCCCATCTCTAGTAAAATGCAAAAAAGTTAGCTGGGCATGGCAGCATGCGCCTGTAATCCCAGTTACTTGGGGGGCTGAGGCAGGAGAATTGCTTGAACTCGGGAGATTGCAGTGAGCCAAGATCACGCCATTGAACTCCAGCCTGGGCAACACAGTGAAACTCTTGTCTAAAAAAAAAAAAAAAAAAAAAAAAAAAACTTCAGCTGATTGGATTTAGCCCACCTACATTATGAAGGGTAGCATAATCTGCTTTTTTCAAAGTCCACTGATTTAGATGTTTATCTCATCCGATAAACACCTTCATAGAAGCATTCAGAATACTGTTTGACTGAATATCTGGGCACCGTGGCCCAGCCAGGTTGACATATAAAATTAACCATAACAGACCAGGATGGTGGCAAGAGTTCTCCTATTCTGAATATATTTTAAAGATAGAACAAAGAGGATTTACTGAGGGCGAGAGAGAGGAGTTAAGGGTAACTTCAAGGGTTTTTTCTCCTGCAGCTGCGAAAATGGAGTTGCCGTTAACTGAAATTGGGAAAGCCTTAAGAGTGCTGGGTCAGGAGCTTTGAGAGGATGGGAAGGTATCAGGAACACAGACCTGTTAAGATTAGATGCTTTTCAGATATCCAGCTGTAGATGTTGGCTAGGCAGTTGAAAGTATGGGTCTAGAGTTTTACAGGATAGTCTTGGGCATGAGTGTATTGATAAAAGTAGTAATTAAGTAGATGAAAGAAGTAATTTGGCCTTCTAAAAGAATCTCTGCTGGTAACGGAACAACCAGGGAAAATCTTAGTTCTCTAACTCCTGTCTAATGAAAAGATCGAAAATGCAGAAATAATCATCATCATTTATTGAATATTTATCCAGACAATGATAAAATTTACATACATTAGTAGCTCATTTTATCTTCACAACTTCAAGGAGTTATTCTCATTCTGCAGATAGAGAATCCCTGCAAAGAGATTGAGTGAAAGATGAAATGGGGATTCAATCTCCTCATATTCATCTGATTTCAAAGCTCGGGCTTTTAACCTGGGGTTTTCATATATTTGGAAGGGCACTGGAATAAAGGGTAGAGTGGTTATAGCTGCCCCATTGTCCTTATGACTCTTACATGTCACTTAACTCTTGTGCTTTGGAGTCCTTGTTTGTAAAATGTTAAGGTTGGAAAATGACATCATCGGCTGTGCCATTTTGATCCATTGTCACAGTCACGATCCATTCTGCATAACACAAATCATAGTTGCAGTTTAAATTTATGGGGAGAGGAACATCAGCAAGATGATGAATGGAAGGTCCCAGGCTTCGCCACAGAAAGTCCAGTTAGCGATTAACCACATACAGGAACACCTCTGTGAAAATCCCAAAACTTGGGAATGAAATGGAGATATCCAAATGGACCACAGAGCAAAAAACTGAATTAGAAGGGTAGGAGCAGTGGTCTCACTTTAATTGACCCCTCCCTCCCTTAAGTAGGCACAGCACCACAAAGAGCAGATTCCCTTGGTCCCCCAGTTAATGCAGTGGCAAAAGAGACAGCTGTCCAGTTTCCCTAACATTCTGTGATGCTTCCCTGGGGGCCCATTCCTGTCTCACAGGGAACCCTGGGGGTAAGGTCTAGACTACCTGGGGTTAGGTAGAAACAAACAGGGCTGTGCTCAGGGCAACCAGCACACAGCACACAGCACAGGAATCTTGGTGATAACTGTGTTCCCACCAGCAGTAGCACCTGATCAAAGATACCAGCCAACTGCATAGCCCATTTACAAAGTCCATCTGTTTGCTGCAGAAGCTCAATAGGAAGGTCTAGCTGGTTGGAACCCCTGCAGGGCAGCCACCCCACCTAGCCTCAGCATCCACCTTCATGCTTTGCTCAGGCAAGCAAGATATAGACGGCCGTTAGGTTTATCAAAAAATGTCCAACATCACTAATCATCAATAAAATGCAAATTAAAAACACAGTGAGACATCCCCTCATGCCTGTTAGAATGGCTGTTATCAAAAAGTAGAAGGAGACTTGGCACGTTGGCTCTCGTGGCTGTAGTCTCAGCACTTTGGGAGGCTAAAGTGGGAGGGTCACTTGAGTCCAGGAGTTCAAGTGAGACCAACATAGTGAGACCCTGTCTCTACAAAAAAATAAATAAATAAATTTAAATTAGCCAAATATGGTGACACATGCCTATAGTGCCAGCTACTCAGGAGACCAAGGTGGAAGGATTGCTTAAGCCCAGGAGGTCAAGGCTGCCATTAGCTATGATCACAGACTCCTGTACTCCAGCCTGGGAGACAGCAAGACCCTGTCTCAAAAAAAAAAGAAAAAGTCAAATGACAAGTGTTGGCAAAGATGTAGAGCTTGGGGACCCTTGTATACTGTTAGTGGGAATGTAAATTAATAGAGCTGTTATGGAGGATAGTATGGAGGTTTCTCAAAAAACTAAAAGTATATTTACCGTACGACTCAGCAGTTCCACCTCTGGGTACATATCCAGAAGAACTGAAGTCAATATGTCAAAGAGATATCTGCACTTACATGTTTATTGCAGCACTATTCATAGTAGCCAAGATATGGAATCAACCTAAGTGTCCATCAGTGGATGACTGGATAAAGAAAATGTGTATATACACAGTGGAATACTGTTCACAGAAAATCTCATTTGTGACCACATGGATCAACCTGCAAGACATAATGCTAAGTGAAAGAAGCTGGGCACAGAAAGGCAAATACTTCATGATTCACTTTGATGTGAAGTATAATAAAGTTACACTTACAGAAGTAATGGTAGAATGGTAGCTACCAGTGGCAGGAGGGGGCAGTTCTGGAAGGGAATGGAAAGAAATTGACCAATGGGTACAAAGTTCCAGTTAGACCAGAGGAGTAAGCTTTCAAGATTTATTGCATAACAAAGTGACCATAATTAATTATAATGTATATCTCAAAATTGCTAAAAGAGTAGATTTTAAATGTTCTCACTACAAAAAATAAAATGAAGCATGTGAGGTGATAGATATGTTAATTACCTTGATATATTCATTCCACATTGTATAATATAAAAAATCACATTGAATCCTGTAAATGTATACAGTATTTGTTAATTAAAAATTCAAACTTTTTTTTTTTTTTTTTTTTGAGACAGAGTTTCGCTCTTGTTACCCAGGCTGGAGTGCAATGGCACGATCTCGGCTCACCGCAACCTCCGCCTCCTGGGTTCAGGCAATTCTCCTGCCTCAGCCTCCTGAGTAGCTGGGATTACAGGCACGCACCACCATGCCCAGCTAATGTTTTGTATTTTTAGTAGAGACGGGGTTTTACCATGTTGACCAGGATGGTCTTGATCTCTTGACCTCGTGATCCACCCTCCTCAGCCTCCCAAAGTGCTGGGATTACAGGCGTGAGCCACCATGCCCGGCCAAACATTTTTAAATATAAATTTATATGTATGATTATTTGTTTGATGTCTCCTACCTCTGTGAGGTCAGAGGTGGTTTAAATTGCTTACTATTATACCCCTAGGACTTAGCACAGTGCCTCTAACAGACACTCAGTAAATACTGAGTAACTGAGTGGAGCAACAAATGACTTGAGTAACTGACCATAAAAGGTATTCTTCTTTAGGCCGGATCCTCTCCTGAGGTTTCTTATTGGCTCACATCACTATTTAGTTCAGTTAGTGAGGATAGTGAATCATGATTCAGAGAACCTGGATTGTAATCCTGGCCCTACCATTTACTAGCCATTAATGAGTAAATTAATGTTTTTCAACAAATATTTATTGACTACCTAATATGAGTTAGGCACTTTGCTGGTTGTTGAGAATAATGAAAACAAATACTGATTTGTACTTTTATGGAGTTTAAAATCTAGAGAAAAAATGAGCAGTTAAATATTTGTATGAATAATTTAATTACAACTGTGAACTTAATAGTAAATCTTTAACTTTCCTGAACTTCAATTTCCTCATCTATAAAAAATACTCTGTCTTATATTGTTGAAAGGATTAAATGACGATTCTATTGCAAGCAGTATGTCAGACTAGATAACTTGAAAACACTCTTGCTACAAAACATCTAAAAATAATAGTTAAAATATTATAAGATTCTTTTAAATATGTTTTTTAATTCACTAGAAAATAGAAGTTCCAGGTGCTAGAAATGAAGAAGGAACCAAACACCAGCAGTTGGTGTGATGTTGAATATTCACAGGGTATAGGGAAGGGAAGCTGGAGGGCGATTTTCCAATCTTCGAAAACCAGAGATTTTAACAGCAGTGAGAAGACGTGAGAAGATGTAGCATAATGAATTAGAATCGAGGTGTCCCCTGAAATGCACACATACACACACACAAAGCTAGAACTGGCCAAGGACTACACCCTTAATGAAAGGGCCAATTAGAAAATAAGCAAACAAACAGAAAATTGAGCTAGCCAGCATAGAGAATTTACAAAGAAGTATATCTGCTTTAGCCTGGGCTTAAGGATAGAGGCAAAACAGAAATGGTCGCCATTAAGAATTTGCAGCCACACTTGGCCCTTAAGTGAGCCTAGAGTTTGAATTTATGTTTCCTGTGTAGTTTAAGAATCTTCATGCTAGGACATTAAAATAAAAAATTGTTGGCTGGGCACAGTGGCTCACACCTGTAATCCCAGCCCTTTGGGAGGCAGAGGCTGGCAGATCACCACCTGAGGTCAGGAGTTCAAGACCAGCCTAGCTAACATGGTGAAACCCCGTTTCTACTAAAAATGCAAAAAATTAGCCAGGCATGGTGGCGTGTGCCTGTAATCCCAGTTACTTGGGAGGCTAAGGCAGGAGAATCACTTGAACATGAGAGGCAGAGGTTGCAGTGAGCCTAAATCGTGCCATTGCACTCCAACTTGGGCAACAAGAGCAAAACTCGATCTCAAAAAAGAAATTGTCTTCAGTTAGTGGTAACCCTGGAGTAGCTGTAGAAACCAATATAAAACCAATCTTAAAATTTGCACCCTTAACCCAAGTGGCATGATAATTCCTAAAACAAACTACTGAAGATAATCTCACAGCCCAAATACGCAGGGAAATAACCTACCCATGAGGAAGAACAGCAGGCACAACAAACAGCATTAGATTCCGAAGAGGTTCAAAAAATAGTAATCAAAATAGATTGATTAAAAAAGTGTCTTCACACAGTTGAAGGAAAATACCCGTTACCTCAGAACTGAAATATTGGGCAGCAATAACTTATAAAACTCGAGAGGTATGTTCATAGTTAAAGTGTTAGTGCTTATGTCGTTTGAAAGGAAGAGAGAGAAACTGGTGAACTTTAGACTTTTTTTTTTTTTTTTTTTGAGACAGGAATTTGCTTTGTTGTCCAGGCTGGAGGGCAGTGGCATGATCATAGCTCACTGCAGTCCTGAAATCCTGGGCTCAAGCGATCCTCCTGTCTCAGCCTCTGGAGTAACTGGGACAACTAGTGCAGGCCACCACACCTGGCTGCTTTAAACTTAAGTCAGATATGCATGTTAAAATGTTCAGGGTAGCCACTAAAAGCATAGTGAAATGGTGGTGGTGTGACGAAAGTGATTGTTAAGTCAGCAACGTCAAAGATATCAAACTGAGAAATAGATTGTGTGGTGTCCTCTCTACCACCTTGTCATCACCTTTCTGCTGCTTCATGCTTTTTAAGGCATTGACATTGAAATTTCTGAAAATAGTGATGTAGCTGAAGTACTGTTGAGTTAATCCTAAAAACAGTAGAGAAAAGAAAAAACAAGAAATGGCAAAACAGAAATTGTTGCCCTTTATGCAGAGTGCACTTTTAATTATTGAATCTGTGTAGATACCGCATGACTTGTATTCTTTTGAGTAGAGTTCAGTGTATTTTCACTACCTGTTATAATTATTTTATATGAATATATGCTATTTCAGCAACTCATGTAGTAATTGAATTTAACCTTTATCATGCAGAAATTGTATTCAGTTTATTTTACATTTCCTTTATAGTATTGTGGTTCTGAAAACATAGAGTACTTACCTTTTTTATCTGCTCTTTATTTATCTTTCTGTGTGAATTTGAGGCAAAGGATGACAATAATTATCTTCGTACTTCAGCAAGTTTACTCCAGTAGCTCCAGAATAATGAATTTTCTTTATTCAACAATAAAAAATGTGAAATATGAGGTGGTTTGATGCCGTATCATTCTCTATCACAATGTTTTTTTCCTCCTTTCCTCAAAGCACTTTGGAAACAGTTTCTGGGAAGGACAAGAGATATTATTTTCTATATTTATCAAGAAAAATACTTAGAGAGAGTTGATGGAAGCCATTAAGGATATCAAGTGTCAGACTTGTAATTTAAACTTGAAAGTTCTGCCTCTAATGAAGGTATGGGGGAGTGGAATGGAAGATGTGGAATAACAAGATATTTAGATAAGAGAGTCATTTCTTAGTAATGAAACAGTAACGTGCCAGTGGTACAAAATCCTACTGCTTGTTGTTTTAACTGTTCTTACATTTCTCAGTGTGATCGGTAGATCATACCAAGTAATTTATATAATAGAACAATAGAATGTCTGAGCAGAAAAGAACTTTATACAAGATAGTCCAGTCTCCTTATTTTACAAGTGCAAATACTTTTTAGATTTTTGTATAACACATTACAAAAATTAATAACATGCTTTCACTACATTGAAGTGACTTACATAGCTAGTGGTAGAATCAGATGGAGAACCCAGAGCCCATTTTGTTTTGTTTTGATGGAACATATGAAACTCCAAGTATTTTAGGCATTATCTTAGCAATTAAAAACTTAAGCTCTGGAGTCAGCAGATCAAGATTTACTATTTACTTACATGAGTGACCTTTGGAAAGTCACTGATCCCCTGTAACCTTCTGTGTCCCTTCTGTAAAATGCTAATTTTAAAATTGTTATTACTGCTAATACAAACACCACTACCACCACCGTTATTACCTTAGAAATTACCTATTATTAATACTACATTTAAATTTGAACAGAATTTCCATCTTGGGAGAAAACCTGTCTTTCAAAACACAGCTTTAGGGGCTTTATTTTATCATAAGATACAATACTACTCTGTCTATTTAGTTGTTATGGATATGAACTTCATTTTTTGCATCAGAGAATAAGTTTATTCTGGATAAATTATTTTTTAAGCTTGAGGTCTTTCAGAAAGTTTGTAGATTTTTTGTAAAAAATCTCAAAATACTAAGCAGTATATTACCTATAGTTTACAAGCAGACTGACACTTTCATGTTACTGGTGGGTATAAATTCGTATAAAAGGGGGCAGTATCTTTTGCAAAACCTTTCAGAAAATGTAAAAATCGCAAATTTTCATCTAACAATTCCACTTTTTCCATGTGCAAAATTAGTGTATACGAACTTTTTGCAGTAACATTAAATAGGTATATGTAGGCATGAGGTATAATAGCAAAAGATTAGAATGTGAAATACCAGGTCACTGGTTAAACTAATTAATTATGATACATCCACAAAATGGAATATTAAAAAATGAAGAATTTTTTCATGTACACATAAATCTGCAAGGTACATTGCTCAGTAAAATAAGGTGTAAAAGTGTGTATGATATGTATGACATTTATAAAAAAGGAAGATTGTGTATTAATATTTACATATTTGTATAAATCAAATACTCTGGAGGAATATTCACAATACTGATAACAGTGATTGTGTGAAATAAAAGGAGGTAGGTGTCTCTGGAATCACAGTGGAAGGGAGATATATACTCTTTTATACATCTTGATTTTTTTTTTAACTATGTAGATAACTATTCACATAAATTAAAACAAATACTTGCTTTGACTTACTTTAGGTATGAGGTTGTCTTATTGAGAGACTCTGTATTTTTCTAAATAGCCTTATAATGCTTAGAATGTATTAGCAGGCCCTTAATATGATGTGAAAAAATCCATGTGATGTGACTGACTGCCTTTCCTGAGTAATTTCCTGTGCGTTCTTCTTCTTATTCAGTATGCTCTAGTCACACTGACTGACGTTTTTCTATGAACAAGCCAAACTGTTTCTCACTTCACGGCCTTGTACTTGGCTGTTCCTTTTGCCTGGAATACTCCTTCCAAGATACTTGTTTGGTTAATTTCCTTACTCAATGTACGCTTCTGTTCCAATGTCACAAACTTAGGCCTTTCTTGACCATGATATCTAAAATGGCACCCCAAACCCCTCTGTCTTCCTACCCCACTTTAGTTTACTTCATAGCACTAATAGCTTCCTGTTTATTTACCTGTCTCCTCGCCTGTCTCTCTCTCTCTCTCTCTGTCTCTCTCCTACACACACACACACACACACACACACACACACACACACACACA